AAAGCAGTAAATGCTCTTAACCACTGAGTCATCCTTCAGTTCCTCATTCATTTCTTGTAAATCTTCAAATTTAATAAAGTATAGGTTTTTAAAACATTCCTTTATAAGGTTTGGAATCTTATTGGTGTGTATTATGATGTTTCCCCATTCATCTCTGATTTTGTTGATTTGAATTTCTTTGTAGCTTTTGGGGGTCTGTTGTGCTGTTTCCCCTTTCATCTCTGATCTTTCTTTCTTTCTTTCTTTCTTTCTTTCTTTCTTTTGGTTAGCTGGGCTGAGGCTCTGTCTATCTCATTTGTCTTTTCAAAGAACCAGCTCTTAGATTCATCGGATTGTTTTCTTTGTTTCTATTTTATTGATTTTTGCCATTTTTGGGTCTGGGTTGTTCTTGTTTTTCCAGATTCTTGAGTTGTACCATTAGGTCATTTATTTGAGCTCTTTCTGAGTTTTTAATGTAGGTACACAGAGATATAAACTTCCTTCTTAAAACTGCTTTTAATATGTCCCAGAAGTTTTGTTGTATTGTATTATCATTTTCACTTTGTTCTAGGAATACTTTTACTTTTTCTTGATTTCTCCCATGACCCATTCATCATTCAGAAGTGTGCCATATAATCTTTATTAGTTTTTGTAGTGTCTAGAGCTTATTTTGCTGTTGATTTCAATCGCATTTTGTTCCGACATAACACATCAAATTATTGCAACATTGTTGAGGTTTGTTTTGTACCGCAGTATGTGTTCTATTTTAGAGAAATTACTCCAAAGAGTAGTTCTTAGGAAGAATATTCTGTAGATGTCTGTTATGTCCATCTGATGAATGATATCATTTAATTCAGATGTTTCTCTGTTTATTCTTTGTCCAGTTGACATGCCCATTGGAGAGAATGGAGTACTAAAGTCACCTACTATTACTGAGTTGGGTTTAATCTGTGTCTTGAAGTCTAGCAGTGCTGTTTGGATGAAATTTGGTGCACCACAGTTTGGTACATATATATTCATGATTAGAATGAAGTGACCTTCTTTATCTCTTCTGATTTATTTTAATTTGAAGTCTATTTTTGTCAGAAATTAGTATCATGATGCTTATTTTTTAGTGCCATTTTTTCTGAAATAAATTTTTCTATCCTAAGGTGGTAATGATCCTTAAGGGTATGATAGTTTCTTGTAGATAACAAAAAGGCAAGTTTTGTTTCTTAATCCATTCAACTAGTCTGTGTCTTTTCACTGGGGAGATGAAGCCATTGATATTTAAACATTGAAAGATGTTTTGGGTTGCTGTCATTTTAGTTGGATTTTTTTTTTTTTTTTCATAGCTGAGGACTGAACCCAGGGCCTTGCGCTTGCTGGGCAAGAGCTCTACCACTGAGCTAAATCCCCAATCCTGGTTGCTGTCATTTTAATTCTTGTTTGTGTTCTTATTTCTATTTTGTGTTCTGTAATTATATCTTCATTTTTGTCCTTTCTATGGTCTGTTGGGAATGGTCATTCTTTTCTTCAGTCTTTTGCATTGCTTAGAATATTCTCTGTAGGGCTGGTTTGGTGGGCATTAATTAATTCATTCAGCTTATTTGTATCATGGAAGATTTTTCTTCCCCCTTCAAGTATAATAGGGAGTTTTGCTGTGTAAAGTATTCTGGGTTGGCATCTGTAATCATTTAGAACTTGGAATACTTTGCTCCACGCTTTTCTGGTTTTATAGTTTGTATTGAAAAGCCAGCTGTGATTCTTACAGGTTTTCCTTTACGTGTAACTTGTTGTTTTTCTCTTGCATCTTTCAGTACTCTCTCTTTTTTTCCTGTACATTTAGTACTTTGAATATGATATGTCATGGGGAGTTTATGTTTTGATCTTATCTATTTTGTATTCTGTGTGCTTCTTATATTTGTATGAATATGTCTTTCCCTAATATAGGGAAGTTTTCTTCTTTAATCCTGTTGAAGATCTGGTCAATGCTATGACTTGAGATTCTTCTCCTTCCTCTATGACATGATGCTTAGATTTGTTCCTTTCATGCTGTCCCACATTTCCTGAATGTCTCAATCCTGTGTTTTAATTTTTTTCATATTATTTACTTGAGTGGTCCAATTCTTCAACTTTATTGACCAGCCTTGATGTCCTGTTTTCCATTTAATTCATTCTATTGATGATGCTTTCTCCTGTTTTTTCAGATTAGTTTATTGAGTTTGTCAATTCCGTCTTCACTTCAGTCTGTTTTCTTCAATATTTCATGAATTCAGTCTTCAAATCCTGAATTGTCTTTGGCATTTCATTCATTTGTATATTTGATTTTTTTAAGCTTTAGTAATGAGTCTGTTCATATCTTTGCGTTCTTTGAGCTATTTCTGCTCTTCAAATTCATTAAATTTCTAACCATTTATATTATTGTTCTTTTAAATTCTGTGTTCTGGGTTTCCTCGAGGTAGTTTTCATTGTAGAATACTTCCATAGGTCTGAGTGGGATTTAGTGGGTATATATCATGTTGATTTTTCATATTGTTTGTGCTTTTGCCTTGTGACCTGGGCTTATGGATTTCTTTTATTAATTGTGTCTGATATGAAATTCTAGCCTGCCTTTGATGAGTTATTGTTCTGATTTATTGTTGATATAGTTCTGCTGTTTTGTAACTAGGTTGGTCTGTGCTTCAGGTTCTCAGTTTTGAGTTTTTTTAAATATATTATTTATCATTTTTACTTTATGTGTATGATTGTTTTGCTTCCATGTATCTAAGTGTACCACATGTGTGAAGTGCCCACAGAGGCCAGGAGAGGGTGTTGAATACCCTGAAACTGAAGTTATGGGTGGTTGTTAGCCACCATGTGGGTACTGGGAATTGAACCAAGGACTCTCTGGTAGAAGAGTAAGTGTTCTTAATTGCTGAATCATCTCTCCAGCACCATGAACATGCTTTTAAAAAACTGTGTCTTAGAAAATGTGACTTAGAACACATAGAATATACTCAACTATTACTGCTGGATGAGGAAGAGCTGATCTTTTTAAGGGAGTAACTCTATATTGGTTCCAATGGATGAACTTGCACCGAGGGACATCTGGGTATAAAATCTTGACTTGATAGGCCTTTACATACATGACAGAATGCATGAAATCTGGTATGGAGGGCTATGGGGGGTTTGGAAATGGGCTCTAAATATGATTAAGATGTATTTTATAAAATACACAAAAATTCCATAAAATATACATTAAAACAAAAGATAAATAGACATAATTTGTATTAAAATACACCCAAAAGTTATTTAAATTATTTATATTGACCACTAATAGTGGATCTGGTGAGATGGCTCAGTGGATAAATATATAGCATGTAAACATGGGGACATGAGTTCAAATACTCAGAACCCACATAAATGTTGAGAGGACATGGGCATCCACCTATATTCCAGCAATCAGAGGAGGAGACAGAAGATTCCTGAAGAACCCTGACTCACTAGCTTAGGTGATTCATATATTCTTGGTTCAATTGAGAGACCATGACTCAGTGAATAAGGTAGAGGACCACTGAGGAAGACCCCTATATCAACCTCTGGCCTTCATACTCAAGGGCAAAGGTGCATCTCTGAGGCATGTAGGCGGTCACACATGGAAATGTGCATATATATATGTACCACACATACATAGGTTAAAAAAAATCACAAACAGTGTTTCATTTACATCTGAATACTATTCCATTCCTCTCTTCTGTGTGCCCACATGGATCAAAAGTAGGTTTTTATTTCCCTGCCTTATTTTTGTTCCTTCTTTTAAATATATGTCAGTACTTGGATATAGAAAGAATGAATAAATAGTCTGATTGAGGATTATTTTGATGATGACTTTACTCTTGCAAGATCCAGCAACAACTGACCTAGCAAGATACACCAACTAGTGCAATAGTGGTATTAGTGATATGGGAGTAACCAATCACTTTCTGATTGGATTTAAGTCTGCTTCACAAGACAGAGTCCATTCCTGACACTGATATCAGGCCTAGGGACCTGTGGCTAAGCGGGTCATAGGCCTTAGGAGAGACCCTACCTCTGTTATCCTGCTAAATAAATTTAAACTTACTCTTAATAACTTATTATTATATATATAGATTAATGCATCTCTCAACTCTCACCAGAGAAGCGTCCTCATAGTGATTCACCTAGAGAACAACAATGGGCCAATGTGCAGAGAACAAGAGCCTACAGAGTGCTCACCCCTGCATAGGACACCTATGTCAAATCTCTGTTGCCCAGTGCTCAGGTATCATTGGGGAAGAGGGTACAGAAAGATTTTAAGGGCCAGAGATGGTGGATGACCACAAGGAAATGGACTTTTTCAGATAAGTGGGAAGTTGTTCATATGAACTCATAGCAATTCTAGCAGCATGCACAAGATCCATGCAAGCTCAACCTAGACAATATCCCAGTATAAACATAGGGAAGTAGATAAGAAGCCCCAATCCTACCTGAGGAACTATTAGCAACTGATAGTTGCTGGGAGAGGGAGACTTTGTTTTTCTTAAGGGAAAACTTTTAACTTTACATTGGATAGGTTAACCAGGCTCCACATGGACTCACACCAAAGGGCATTTGGGGACACAAACTTGACTTGATAGATCTTAATATATATAACAGAGTATATGATCAAGTGGTGAATATTAAGTGGGGGCACAAATAACAGAGGGACTCCAAATGTGATTAAAATATGTTCTATGAAGTTCACAAAAATTCAATAAAACCACCAAAATATTGCATGAAATTCACAAGTTGTTTTAATAAAATAATAATGTTCATAAACAGTATTTAGAAAAGTACAACCAATATATTTCATACTTCCCTTTAGCTCTTTAAATTCAAATATTACATTATGAGCATTGTTTATTTTTCTGAAAAGCAAACATTGGGAAAGAGAAAGACATTGATTCTTCTATTCAACATCAACGTAGACCTAAAATGTGGCTAGGTACCCAGAGAAGAGCAGAGAGGAAGGAAACTGAATTATACTCAATTGTACAATGTTAAATGCAAATTCCTAAGGAATGTTTTGTCTTCTCCACAGCCTTCTTGAATGCACTTTTCACCTCCTTGTTCCGTAGACTGTAGACCAGAGGGTTCAGCATGGGGATGACCATGGCATAGAATACGGATACAGTTTTGTCAGTGTCCATGGAGTGACTTGAGCTGGGCTGGGAGTACATGAAGATGACAGTTCCGTAGAAAATGGAGACTGCAGTGAAGTGAGAAACACAGGTGGACATAGCCTTCTGGTAACCTGCAGTTGAGCGCATCTTGAAGATGGTGATGAAGATGAACGTGTATGATACCAAAATAATAATGAGTGCTGAACAGATCACAAAGCTTGCTCCATAAATAAGAACCATCTCACTGACACGTCGATCAGAGCAAGAGAGAACCATGACTGCTGGAACATCACAGAAAAAGTGATGGACAACATTGGATTTGCAGAAGGAAAGCCTGAAGGTGTCCCCAGTGTGGATGGAGGCATTGAGGAATCCACCAGCATAGCAGGCTATGATCAAACAGGCACACATTCGTGTGGTCATGGTGGTGCTGTAATGCAGGGGTTTGCACACTGCTGCATAGCGATCATAGGCCATTGCGGCCAAAAGTAAATCTTCCGTGGTGACAAAGATGGAAAATAAGAACATCTGAGCAGCACAGACATTGTAGGAAATGACTTGCTTTCCTGAAAGCAGGCCAGTCAGGGCTGTAGGAGCTACAGCTGAGGAGTAACAGATATCAACCAGAGACAGGTTACCAAGGAAAAAGTACATGGGAGTGTGGAGCCGAGAGTCCCAGAGAATCAGCATGATCATCCCCAGGTTTCCAACCACATTGATGAGGTAGATGATAGTTATCAGAAGAAAGAGGGGAACCTGCAGTTCTGGGGCATTGGTTAGTCCTAGGAGGATAAACTCTGTTGCCTCTGTCCTGTTCTCCATCAGTTTCATTTGGGAATCAGGAAATGCCCTGGAGTACAGAGAAGAAAAGGAAGCACATTAGATATAGTGGAGATTGCCAAGAAATGGAAAGCTCTCTATACCACAGGCAGATGTTATTTCATTATCACAAGTACATGTGTTTCAAGTTTCATTATAATTAGGACCAGTGAGATGGCTCAGGGGTAAAAGTGTTTCTTCCTAGCCTTGTAGCCTGAGTTCAATCTTCAGTTTCCACCGTGAAAGGAGAGAATCATCTCCAGAAAGTTGTCCTCTGATCGCCACATGTGAGATATGACTGAATGCACAGTCACACACATTATACACACAAAATAATAACAAAAACAAGCTAAAATTTTGTACATTAATTTTTATAGGATCTGAGGCTATTGAATGAAGTGAATTTAGATATTATTGTCCCAGTTTTTATGTCATGTATTTGTTAAAATTTTGAAAACGTAATAATGCTTTAGGACATTTTTATTTTTAATTACGTGTCTTTGTATGGTATGTGTATATGTGTTTCGGAGTCCAGTGAAATAAGATCTCCTGGAGCTCCAGTTATGGTGATTTTGAGCCACCGTGCTGAAAATGAAACTCTGCTCCTCTGTGAAACCAGTTCATGCTTTTAATTGCTGAGCTGTCTCTCCAGCCTCATTTTGAAAACTGAACTAATTATCCAATGTGACATTTCTGAAATGAATAAATCAATTACTTTGTCTTCCCAATCCTCATGCATTTACACACATCTGTGGTGTAATGTGCTAGGGACTGCTCTGAAGACACTTTTATATGTATTTTCACCTTATTATTCAAACATTAAGCAGTGGTTATTTTCTTTTAGATTACAAAATACCAGATAATAAGTAATATATTAGTGTTGATAAAAATTTTAATCTGCAAATGAAACTTTGGTTCCAAACAAAATGGCTGTCAAGTTCAATGTTGTAACCTAAGTTTAAATCAAGTTGCTACTCCTAATTAATCATTGTCCTTGTTGACCTAAGTCTTTGGGATTTCCTAGTGAACTTAGTGAGAGACACTTGCACAATAGAAAAACTAAGGTGGCTAGAGTTAAAGGTGTTTCCATAAACACTAAGAAAAGGTGACAGAGGAAGGCAGAACCTCAGGCACTATGAGGTATGGAACTTTGTGTGGGGAGGAGTTTTATGTTAGCTTTACCCTTGCAGCCTAAGAACCACTGGTCCTGCCTGATTCTCCTAAACCAGATTTTCTTTACCCATAAAATCTTTATCGAAGATAACGTGTCCAGAATTGAGGTATTGTTGTGAGAATTAAATGAAGAAAATCTATTTTCCAAAGGAGTAACAACTGCATATTCTTCAGCGTTGAATAATTGCTACCTGTGTAATAATCAAATCATCACCACCACCACCACCACCACCACCACCACCATCATCATCATCATCATCATCATCATCATCATCTAGTGAGAAGTAATGATTTTTTCCTGAGATCTGAGAAAAACATTTGGGGCCTCTTGTGTGAATGAAAGTTGAAATCTCAAAATCTCATTCTCCAGTAAGTTTTTCTTAACACACTAAATTCAGTGGTAGTTTGTTTTTTAGTAACTTGTGTTCTGTCCATATGATTGGTTGCTATGCCTACTCCATGTGAGTCATTCGTTTAATATGCTTTTTGAACTCCATGTTTCAGCTTGAGTTTTTCTCTTTTTCTTATGGCTGCCCTGTCTTAGTTAAATCACAACTATTGAGAATTGATAGGTCATAGATTGTGAATAATGTTTAGCTTGGTGATCTGTTTTGGCAAAAGTCTTTGTTGGAAGTTTTACTGAATCCTTTCTATTATAACCAGTGTAATTTAATGTCTTTTAATTTCAAATGTAAGTCTTTCGAAGTACATCCATTCTCTTCTAACAACTGTTTCCTGCTATCGCTGTCCTAACCCCCTCAGCAGCTTATCTGACCACCTGAGACCAGGAGGGCTTTATATAAACCTTAACACATATAAACACTTTAGTATATACTATGTTCTATGACATATGATAAGGGCTCTATAGTGAGTATAAAAACCTTGTGGAATAAGCATGTGTGTGACTACGTGTGCATGTATGTGTGCTTGTGTGTGTATAAAGCAAGCATTATCATTTCTTTTTTGTCATGAAGGCAAATTATCATTTATGAAAGTGATATTTTATATTTCCATACTAGTAGCAAGGATGAAGATTCAATATTAAAACAAGCTTCATCCTTGCCCAAAGCTCATGCTTTTAGTCATGTTGATGGTATATGGATAAATGCCTACAGTAAATTAAAAATGAGATTATGGGATTTTGTTAATGATTTTTAAGTTTTATAATTAATATTAGATCATCTGTTCATTCATGTACATGCCATTTACTATATTTAAACAATTCTCCAAAGAAAGATGAACATACAAAACATCAATTCAAATTACCACTTGATCAATCAATCCACATCTGTACTGTTTTGGTTAACATTAAGAAAAATCAACATATGGTTGTTTCACAAGCATCAAAAAACTCTCCAAATATTTTAATATTTGTAAGACAGCTTTTTTTTTGATGCCTTAAAAAAGAGTTGAAACTTTGGAACTTTTTGCCCAGGTCACGTTCAGCAGTTTTTTGCACTCTGCTTCTGTGCGCACTGTATGTTTCACTGAAAGCAGATATTGAATATTGAAGCTTACCTCAGTCCGTGAAATAATTAGTTTTTCATAGTGTGTTTGCAATGAGACATGTTTTGTCTGAGTAATGCATACATCCTGTCAGAGGATCTGTCCTGCAGGTAATACTCAAAAGTGCTGAGGTTTCTAAGGCAGTGAAAACAGAAGGAAAGATATTCAACATGCTCAGCCATGAGTTGACTGCATTCTCTCTGTGTCCTCGGAGGACTCTCCTTTCTTATTTATAGAAATAAAGATGATAAAATTTCCTTTCTCATTATGATTCATGGAGTTGTGTCTGTAGAGAGCAAATGAAGGAAGGCACATAAAACAACTTGCTAAAAGGTCATTATTTTGAAGTCATTAAAAAATATTTTCATCTTGGAAGATTTTCTTGACTACCTTAGATCCCAGCAAATCTTTGATCAGAAGGCCAGTATGTACAAAGAAACATTAACATTCAGATGAATAAACTATATGTAAAGGTGGCCAATGTGCAGTCTGGTAATTCTAAAATGAATCACCGCAGTTCATGTTGGACTTCAGAGGGCAGTGCATGTGGACTAGCAGGGAAATATAGAGAACTGACCTCTCTGGGGATGTTCCCTATGAGGACATCTGTAGGCCCTCATTTCTCCTTCCTAATGAAGAAGCAATTAATCCACCTGCTGGAACTAAGCTAGTTGAATTGTGTCCATACATATTTGTATCATTCTTTTCTAATTAATATGCAGTTTACAAACAGCAGTCAAGATCATTTAGTACATAGGACTAAATGTTGGCCAAGCTTATATTTATGTTCCCATCACCATGATAACCTTCATGAATTTTTTCATGAGCTTTGTGCTCAAGTCCTTCTCCTGACTATTGGACGTGGCAAACACCCCACCTCCTTTTTCCACAATATATTGTCTTTGCAGTGATGTCTCTGCCATGACTCCACTTTTGACTTAGAATGATATATTTGAAGTTCATTTGCTTCATTCCCTTACCTGGAGTTTTACATTTTTATCATAAAGTTAAATTTGATTATAAGTACTTCCCACACTTTTTCTACCATTTGTCAGTAAAAGAATACTTGTGCTGTTTTGACTGGTCTTCTCTTATTTCTTTGGGTCTTGAGACAAGGTCCCTTTATGGCACAGACCAGCCTCTACCTTCAGAGTACTGGGATGTCAGGCATACAAAATCATGCTCAGCTATTTCATTGTTTGTGATTACAATTGAAGCCAGCAAGAATTTCCAGTTTTCTAAAACTGTTCTTAACAGCATAAGCATCATGGGGAAACACTGTCCATCTCATTCTGTGAAACCATCATTTCCTGATACCAAAGCCACACAAAAGCATCAAGGAAAGAAAATTACAGATATTATCCTTCTTGAATATTCACATAGTGATACTTAGAAATGTGAAAAATAAATCCATCAATAGAAACCATTGCTGCTTATTTCCCAGATATGTAAAGCTGCTTCATTAGGTAAAAGTCAATTTCATAATAAAACTACTATAATGGAGATAATAGAAAAACTCAGTCCTCTTATAATCTAGAATAAGCATTTGTAGGCTACCTTTCATGATAAAATCTTTCTTAGAACTAGGAATAGAAGTGAATTCTCCACCTATTAAAACTCTTATTAAAATCATAGTTAAGGGACTGGAGAGATGGTTCAGAGGTTAAAAACACTGGTTACTCTTACAGAGGATCCAGGTCAATTCCCAGAACCCACATGGCAGCTTACAACCCTCTGTAACTGTGGTTCCGGAGGATTTGACCCCATATCCTGACCTCTGTGGGCATTGCATGACACTGATGCACTTATATACATGTAGACAATATCTTCTATGCATGAAAGAAAAATAACAAATAAAATACTTTTTAAAAACCTCACTGTTAATGGTACACTCACAAGGGAAAGAATTTAGAATCACTGAAGTGATCTGGAGGACTGGGAGTGAGGAAGTTAGGAGTTATGAGCAACACTGCCCACTTCAAAGCACTAGCAGAGTGAGTACACAGAAAACATGGATAGCTCAGTGTACTTTTACAACAGTGGCTGGTGGTAACCATGATCAAAATACATTGCAGGAAATTCTCAGAGAATAAATAATATGTTCTTTTTAAGTCTTTTTAAAGAGTTTATTATGAAATCATGGAAAAAATCATGGAACTCATGGAAAAGCCAAATTTCTATTTACCCATTTACATAGTATATAGGCATAGATCCATATGCACACATTATTAAAATTACAATTTGTCTAAACAGCTTCCCTTCCTGTGAATAAAACAAAGCCACACTGAAGACAGCACGAATGTGCAAGGAGGTAGGGACTACCACCTTCACCC